CCACATTTAGATATTGTTAAGTGGCTTTGAATAGCTTCCTTGATTTCACAGTTCCAAATGACCCGCGATAATCAGGTCATTAAAATGGGCTCATTCTCCACATCTGACACACTTCCACTGCCTGCTCCATTTGAATAACAAATCACAGCTGGAGTGCCTTTCTGCAATGGTAACGAATGGAAAAATTGGCTCTGTCTTTACACCCAGGTTAACCTACTATAGTGGAGTGTGTGGATGGAAGATATTAGGTAAGGTAGGGGTCCTGTCAAAAGTGTCAGTGCTTGTGTCAGAGTAACCGGTTTTCTTAATACATCCCTTAGGAGCGGATAAGTCTATTAATCTGTTAAATTGGGAAGCCATTAGCTGCCCTGGTTTATATGTTTCAAGCTGTTAACTAGAGGCTGATTGATTGTTGTTCCTTTGATGGGATATGCTGATCTAATCTCACTGTGTGCACGTTTGCCATAAATTACATACAATTCATTTCCCCCATTTAGTGCGAGTGAGTGTGGGGGGGTCACACCTCCAGGCATGCCTACGCTCTGCAGGCAAAAGAGCAAGAAACCTATTTTATGGCCCCATTTAGGCAGCAAGCTTTGAGCAATCCCCAATCCCCCTCTCTCTCCCTCTCTTTCACCCCTCCCTCCTCACCCTCTCCACCTCTCCGAAAAAATCGAAGCATAATCAAGGTGTATGTTTAGAAAATTTATTGTTATAATTTTGCCCCATAATCTCCTCCATTTTCCAGCGGGCGCCATAACATAGATCATCATCTAAAGGGAGAGAATGGATAGCAGTTTAAAATTTATCGGTCTTTGATTCTCAATTATACGTGTTTATGACTTCATCTGTCTTCTGCGACTTCAACCTTTTCCATTACGCTGGAATATTATTTGTACGGAATCCATTAAATTCACAAGGCAGTGGGAGCCTGTAATGGCGGTGCTGCTGTGGTGGCGATTTGCGGTGGAAAAAGTTTTTTGAAAGGGTTGGCTTTAGGAAAAATGCGCCTGTTATGACACTAGAAATTGCTTTATTGATGGTGTGCTCTGGCGCCCGTGTATTCGGCCATTTGTTACCCGGCCCATATCTATATCTCAGCACTGACACTGATGAGAACTTTTCTGTTGGCCTCTTCAGATTACCCAGTTGTAATGACACATTTCAGGGCACCACTTTGGACTTACACACAGACGGGGTATTGAAGCGGGCCCTGGCTAAGCTGCTCTTAATAAAGAAAGAGGGATACATCTCTCACACGGCTGTCTCTGCCCTCAGACTTTCATCTTTTCCACCAAAAAGAGCTCAGGACTTGATAGAATGTGCACAGATCTGCTCATGCACCCAAACGATGAGACAATATGTCTGATACTGAAAAGGCAACGTAGCAGATATTCTAAAGGCTGTTAATGACTCATATTCACATAAAAGGAGACAGACACTTTCAGTGTATTTATAAATGCATACAATAGTGTAATGGAAGAAAAACAGGCTGTTGGTTCTGGAGGCCATATGTGCTTATACATTTGTGGTTACAATGTCAAAACTGTCCAGATGTTTGAAACATCATACTAAGGAAAAGGGGTTCATGTCAAGTATTCTACAGTCATATATGCATACAAACAAGGCAAAAAAAATCAAATTCCAACAGATCTAATTTTAGTGTATGCATATTATAGACATGTACGAGCCCTGTTCTTACTTTAAAATGTTAACTTTAGCTTTTGTCCAAGAATATCGTTTTACACATGTCTAAGTGTTAGAGTAAGAATTGGTACCAAAGTAATTGCTAAAAATATTTTAATTACCAGGTGATTCATTTAAAGAGTTAATTCACAGTATTTCATAAATGATCACTACACTGATATACTATCCAGCAGCAGTTTCCTGTTTACACAGGAAGTAAGTGTATTCCCTGTAGTTAAGTGGAGGCTAAAGTGCTTCAACCTGTGTGACATTGAGCTCATTGGCCAGGCTCGAGCTAGGTGCAGAGTAAAAGCTAATCAGGCTGTAACTCAAACTGGGCTGGCCACTCACCGATCAATAGCTGCACAATCCCAATTAAAGCGTGCTGGGTCAGTGCACGGACACCAATGCCTTTACAAGTTTAAATACAATACTTAAATCTAGGCAATCTCCGTGTGGCCTTGGCTGGGTAATGGCTCGTCCCAAACTGAAGTGTCCAGTTTAAAGTGGACAGAGGACACACAGTGGACAGCCTCAATGATGGACGGGGCTGTTTGTAGTGATGCAGTTGGACACTTAGATCTCTTAAAGGCCTGAGTAAATGCTCAGCTTGATCAGAGTGTCCAATCCAGCACTACACGCTCAGACTCACAAAAGATCATTAAAGTGCTGATCTAGACTCAGTTAATGCTGGGTAAAAAAAGGACACACATTTCCACATGTTTCACCATTTAAGAAACCCTTGGAGCTTACTGATGTTTTTTTTAATTATTATTTTGTGGCTATTAATTAAACAATCACAGTACACATGTAAAGATGTGAAGTGCAATATATTGTACCCAAAGAGTAATATGTTAACCCATAAATACAATTGTTAAGTATTGGGGTAAAATTTGTAAAGTTAATTCAATAACAAACCATAGCTTTTGCCATATTTTGTAGAAGTTACTAGCAGCTCCTGGCTACCTATTTCTCTCATTCCTCTTTTAGTTATCGCCCTTTGAGCCTTTTGCCATTGTATCCACGTCCTTTATCACAATTCTGAGCCACCGAAAGGAATTCTCACAAGATATCAAAACAAAAATCTATATTTAATATGGGAGCAATTACGCAGCAAAGTTGGCTGCACGGGGCCATTGTCACCAGACCTGGTGTTTTTCATCAGGCCAGTCATTAGAAGATGATGGATGTAAACCTATAAAGTATCTAAACTGGAGCTTTTAACAAACCACGAGCAACACTATCATTTCTCTAATAGAACCTGCTGACCGTGTCATTCCCTGCTGCCATTTGTCATTTTTCCTGGTGAAATAATCAATATCTAGGCGCTTTGAAATAAATAATATAAAAGTCATCGTAACCTACCCGAGGAGCAACAAAAATAGACTTATGGAACATTGCGAGGGTCTGTATGGCCTCTGGGCACTGGCCACTATGCTTGTGATCAATGCAGAATAGAAGCAAGATTTTAAAGGGATGGTGTTCAAAGGCTCAGAGTTTGGATTTATGTTCACAGACACAGTAAAATTTCATTATAAAACACATTTAGTAACACATATTATAAGAAAATGCATTCATGACAAATCTAGAGAACTGTTAACACAAACAGAAGTAAGCCATTAGGTACACTGTAAATGCCATTTAAGTGCTCAAGTGATGGAAGAAAGCCTTTTCAAATTTGTATTTATGTATTGAATTATTGGTTTAAAACTTTTAATTGAATAAATGCAAGGTAGAATAATGACATACTGTGGAACATTCCAGGCAAAATATAACTCTCCATTGAGGCTAATAGATGGCGGAACCCAAGGTAAAACGACTCTAGCCTTCTAACAGTAGATTTTATATATTTTGGGAGCAGCAACTTTCTTACAGTTGCCAGTAAGTCCAGTCTGCCTCTTATTTATTGAGTAGGACATGTTTGAACTTGGAGGAGACACACAAACATGTAAGCACAACAGAATGCAGTCAAGGGTTAATTTCCAGTAACTTTTTAATACTTTCACTGAGAGGTCTGCATAAAATTACTACTTTTGACAAAGGGTGCCTTTATTATTGTTGGTTGCATTTAAGCAGGTTGTAGTTGAGAAGGAAAGCCTGATGTGTGCTTGTTGAGTGTGGTGATGATGACCATGTGAGACGTAATGACACTGGGTAACAGGATATCTGTGCTCAGCTCATCTTTACTTACTCTGAACCACACCAATGAACTGTGCTTGTTAGGAAATATAAAACTTCACTTTAACATTCTAAACTAAAAAGTGATCTTTAAAATGTTTTCAAAAATTAAATCATGTTTAAATGAATTACACTATCATGCTATATTAACGTGAAAATCATAGGCTTCCAAAACGGACTACTAACAATAATAGTCAATGTATAAATCCATATGTAGTTCCTCTTTACCACCCAAAGAGGACGCTGTCTCCCCGCTGTTCCTATCTACAGGCTTCCACTCTAGTTAAACAAGTCAATTAAAATCTGTGAGTGACGAAACACAAACAAATTCTGCGTAAATTACACGAGTACAATTTGAGACTGGATTTCCCTCACTGATTAGAACAAATGTACGTTTACGCATGACCCCGAGACATTCTCATTGCTCTAAAAACAATTAATCTGAAATTTGAATTGAAAATCTCATTGCCCGCCCAGACCTTTTCCGAGTACAGCAAGAAGAGTTAATAAAAATATATAAATTCATGTATCAATACAGTAAACACAAGTCTGTAAGGCAAATGACAAAACACGCACCGTCCCTTTCAACCACGAAACAGCGCTTCACTTTTACAAACGATTAATAATACATTTTTGTAGCCTTCAAACATTTGTCATTATAATGCGACATAATGTACATTTTAAGGAAACTTTAGCCATGCAATGCAGAAAAATAATTTTCTGATTTAAACTATAGTCTTAACTTTTTTTTCTCTCTCTAAAAGGCCTGGTTCTGAAGCCTGTGACTTATCTCGAGCCACAAACTTCTTAAACTTGTACATTTGTCCTATTGTCACTTCATCGTTATGGTACTCGTTCATCCTTGGCGCTTATCCCAAAGCTTCCTTTCAGCGCTAAAAGCCCTGTGTTCATTTGCTGCCTAATTGGACTGTGAGACCAATAACAGGCGAGCGCCCAGGGGCTGCAGCCACAGAGTGCGCAGAGAACAGGGGGACGGCCTTCTCTCCCTCCCTCCTTCTCTCTCTCTCCTCACAGTCTCTCCCAATCCCATTTGCCATTGTACATGCCCAATCGCCTATACTTTCCGCATTTAACTTGGATGACATTTTTATTTCATCATTAGCATCAGACGCCAGAGTGACTGACACAGTGGACAGACTTTGGTCCTTCTTTGATGAGCCGGGGATGAGCTCTCTGCTGATTTTGACGCGTTTTGGCGTAAATACTGTTTTCAACGCTTTCTGAGCCAAACAGGACGCGAGTTTTACGAGCGGCAAGTCTCCTCTCCACTGAAAGCAAAGCACACAGTGGCACTCGGGATACAGGCTGTGTGTAAGTGACTTTTTATTATTTGATTTCGCATCCATTTCCTTTTCAAGAACAGCCGAAGCAATGCCTGAGACGACGCAAGAGACTTCAGCCAAGGACTCGCCTTTCTTTATAAAGAACCTGCTCAACTGTGACAGCAAACCGTCCAAACCTAAGCCGGTGTTGGCTGCCACGAAAACGGCTTTGGAGGGTGGTTTTACCCTGTCACAGGTCGGAGACTTCAGCTTCCCACGCTTCGAGTTGCCCGCTCAGAGGTTCAGTCTCCCGGCGCACTACCTGGAGCGCACCTCGGCATGGTGGTACCCCTACACCTTGGGCACCGCAGCGCACCTGCATCGAACTGAAGGTAGGCCTAAATAATGTGCAAATTGTGCATGTTATTAAATTAATGTATGTCCATGAAAATGTTATTCCTCATTTAAAGAAAAGATTTTAATTTGAAATAAAATAAAACATGTCTAAAATATGAAACATTTTCACTTTCACCCGAGAGTGACTGTTTTAATCTTTCTCAGATGTTTTCATTTTCTTTCTTCCCCATGCCAAAACAATTTACTTTTACTACTGTAATAATCAGCTTTTAGTTATAGCCTACAGCTTGTAACTTGAAGTCAAACCAAAAGGACTCTGTTTAGGCTCTGACACGTTCAGTAACAGATCAATAAACTAACATTATGTATAAAAACCCCACATCAGATTTAGGAGATGATGCGTGTTTGATGTGTCTTGTGGCACTGCTGGTGACGCGCAGATTTTTATGTTCTTTGGACTTATGGGATTTGGAAGTGGATTTATAACGCAAATAGATTATTACTTTACAAAGGTGAATCAACAGGAGCAGCAAGTAAGCAGAGACTCGAGTCTTTACGATGTGTTCTCTGTTTTAGTGAGTGACAAACCCGTGGCCAGAGACTCGTCTCCGACCTCAGGCACAGACCGGGACTCTCCGGACCTCCTACTCAAAACCGAACCGGACTCCAAAGACGACGACGATGAGGACGAGCACAACAACAGTAAGAGCGGAGACGAGATCATCCTGGAGGAAAGCGACGCGGAGGAGGCCCGCAAGGACGACACGGAGGACTGGAAGAAGCGCGACGACGACAAGAAGCCGTGCCGCAAAAAGAAGACTCGCACCGTGTTCTCCCGCAGCCAGGTGTTCCAGCTCGAGTCCACGTTTGACATGAAGCGGTACCTGAGCAGCTCGGAGCGGGCAGGTCTGGCGGCGTCCCTCCACCTCACCGAGACGCAGGTCAAAATCTGGTTTCAGAACCGGAGGAACAAGTGGAAGAGGCAGCTGGCGGCAGAGCTGGAGGCCGCGAACCTAAGCCACGCTGCGGCGCAGAGGATTGTCCGGGTGCCCATTCTTTACCACGAGAACTCTGCCACAGAAAGCACGAACGCCTCGGCCAGCGTGCCCGCCAGTCAGCCTCTGCTCACGTTCCCACACCCGGGCGTGTACTACTCACATCCCATAGTGACATCCGTGCCGCTGCTCAGACCCGTGTGAAGAAGAAGACAAAAAACAAAAAAACAAAAAAAAAACAAACAAACAAAAAAAAAAGACTATATTTTTATACTGACAAAATAAAAGAAAAAATGCAGGATGCAGGCAACTAATGTTCACTTGCCAGACTGATTGGACTTGACAACTAAACGTGTCATCGCCCATTATTATTATTATTATTATTATTATTATTATTATTATTATTATTATTATTATTATTATTATTATTATTATTATTATTATTATTATTAGACCACCTCAGACCTCAGGAGTCCACTGCCTACACTGCCTGATGACATGGGGCCCACTCATGTGTTTACACTCTCTACTGACCACTTTGATTTTTCAAAAGTCCATTTTAGTGCGTGCAATACACTGTAAACTCAAACTAAAATCATCACGCGTGAGATAATGACGTTGAAGCATTTTTGTGTCATTTTATTTTCGGAGACAATCAAGACTGAAGTGTAAAATATCCGTAGCTTTATGTTTAAGTCGTGAACTCTTTCAAAGCACAAGCGAGCGATCCAATGACTCTTCTTTGTGTGTTTTTTGTTTTGTTTTGTTTTGTTTGAGCAGAAAGCGGCTGGACCACAGCGGTGTACAAATGTAAATGTATATATTTAATGAGAGGCTGCACCTGCCGCTTCTCCTTTGTACAGTTAAGACACGTTTTGATATTGTATTGCCGAACCATGTTGTGAAATAAACGGAGAATATTCCTTAATTTTAATGCTCATATTGTAATTATAATATTTTGCATATTTTGATGTTTGTGAAAAACCTAAGCACTTGCACCTCTGCGCTCTGGCAGGTGGGTTTAATTATAGTTAGTGATGGCTGCGCTCTCGGACAGTGTCATTTTGCATAAACATGGACGCACTCAATTAGGTTCGTAATTGGCACCATCTTGCAAAGATGCAAAATGCAAAATAAATAAATAAAATAAAATAGGGCTAATGTATTCACAAGAGGGCACGCGTGGTATGGCAAGCAATATGAAATTTCTCATTAGCATGTTGATACACTGTCTTAATTAAGGTACATTTTTAGATTTTTTATTGTTTACTGTGAAATGCACTTTAAAAACAGAAATGAATTTGGGTAATTTGATTTAGTTGAGCAACATACTCCTGTAGCCTCGTGCCATAACTCTATAAAGTACAGTTCTTTGATAATTTAGCCTATGTGACAAACAGCACAAGCACAAACAGACAAACAAATTAGGATATTTAAAGAAGCATAATTAAGGCGGCCTCAGTGCGCACCCTGCGTGCGTTTTTTTTTTAGTGCAGACACCAGTCGAATAATTGACCATTGAGCTACGAAGTGTAGCATACCACAAATTTGCAAAATAACAAGAGAATGAAAAAGTTACATCTTATATTTACCAAGAGGCAAAATGATGTACCTGTATTGAAATAAAATTGTATTGAGACAATAGACTTATACACAATTATTTAGCTTTCCAGTAACAATAAGTATCTTTGTAACCTACTATAGCCTACTATACAAATCAATAAATGTTAAAGCCTAAGAACCCAATGCGTAAAACAAGCCTTTCACAAAAAGGAAAGACCGCGGCTAAGAAATTACGCAGTGGCCTTTTACATGACAGGCTATTGTGAATTTCTTTCTTTTATACACAGCCAATGTATTGACCAATACAATTATTGGGTATAAGTCGGTTACATATTTCACATTATGACCTCTTCTAGAGACAAAGGGTTCATTCAAATATCATTGGATCACCCAATTATTGACGTGCACCTAGCGCGCACGCTCATAACGGCCCCATTATTGCAAATGAATAGATTGGTATGACATTATTCCTCTGGCACATATCGATCTCAAAAAGTCTACGCCATATTGCGTCAAGTAAGAGCAATGTTCACGGGTCAGTTTGGCACGGCACATGACCTTGATTTGCGCGCATAAATTGTAAAAATTACCACTCAATAATTTCCATTTGTGCGACATCTTTATGTAAAAGAGAAAGAGAGCGGGGCCAAAATCAGATAAAATACATTTGCAGGAATGGGGACAAGCGGACGTGACCATGGAGCGTGCGCATCCGCGACTACCTTCTATTAAAATGGAGAGCTGAATGGGTAATTTTAAGCCCCCTATCAGAGGTTTTAGCAGCAGTTTGGAAACACACAAGTGGCACGACCACCTTGCGTAATGCACGCCTCTTGTGCAGCCGCTGGCATGTGTGATGGACAATTATAGGAGATGTTACTCTGAAGTCAAAGTCTGCCATGCACAAATTGAAGCATTTATACAAAGCTTTAGAGTAGAGAGCACGGAGTTTTAAGCGCTTACACGAGAGAGGTTATGATATTACACTTATGGAAAGCTGCAGCTGCGTATAGGATGCACAAGTTTTGTATCATGAACCCTAACATTTCTTTATGTAACACCCTGGAGAATCTCACAGGCTAAAACACAATGGAATACGTGTGTGAGATAACTTTGACTATGTGTGTCAAGAACCTTTAGTGAATAGTTGATAAGATAAAATAAGTGACTTAATCAATTCAGATATTTATTTTGAAATGGGAAATGAAGAACATGTCCACAAACCAATATATGCTTATATTTATAATCTTATAATGTTTTATAACGTGTTATAAACGCATACTGAAGACAAAATAATACACAATTCATGTCTCATCCTATGATTAAAACTACATCTAACTACATCTAACCATCTATTCACTTAAGAATATAAGGTTAGTTTATACATTTTATTACTAAATGAAAAATCCAAATGAAGGCAACAGTTCATGAAAAGCCGGACAAAGAATGGCGTACTTTTCCTTATTTGACTACAAGGCCTCCTGATGTGCCTACAATCAGCAATGGCAACTTCTGTACTCGAACGATTACGTAGCTTCAACACCAGTTTGTAGATCTCTGAAAGGCGGAAATCTTGTTTTAAAAAGCCACACCATTTGCTTTTCTGATTGAACGCAAGCATCAGATTTTCATCAAAGTTCTATTAAGTGAAACATAGGTTGCGGGGCACCGTCTGATTGGAACAGTTTAAATTTTAATTGTGTTTTTAATTTGACATATAGTTGCTGTGAAGAATGACAGTGAAACGCCAAGGGGCGGTCGATTTTCTTAATTTCTCCCTGAGGAATTGATGAGTCTATCAGGGCAGTAGATTGGAAAGCCATTAAAACTCAATGGTTAGGTTGTTAATTGGAACTTGATGGATAGGAGCCTTTGGATAGGCTGTACTGATCCCATCTTCCTGACTTTGTGTTTTCCAATAAATTACCCAGTTCATTTCCACACCCAGATTACATAAATTGTACACCTTCAGGGCTCGCGCTTTGCTCGCGTTAACAACTCTCTCCTTTACACGCACGCGCACACACAGGAGAATGCGCGCGCGCAAAAACGCCCCCTGAAAAAAGCAGGCCCCGCTTCCTTGAATGAAAATCGAAACATAATCAACGTTTATACTTAGAAAATTTATTGATATCATTTTCTCTGGTAATTTCCTTATTCTAGATTTGGACACGCCATATATCATAATACACACATATAAAAAGGCTTTTTGTTTAATATTTATCGAAGCTTGATTCTCAGATAAAGCTCCTCATAACTTCATCTGTCTTTCTTCGGGCTGCTTTTTTTCCCCCCAAGATCTTGTTCTGTTATTGCGGTAGGGCGCGCGTACGACACATTTCACTTTGACGGAAGCGGCGCTTTGGTTCTTTAAACATCATAAAGCCAGAGTGAGACCCAGACATGAACATTACCATACCAATACACTGTCACCCTGACCAAATAAACAGCACGTCTTTTACGCACAGCGTTACTTGTTAGGTCCCTAACGAAAGTCAAAGTGATGGAGTCAGATACAAAGGTCTTTGTGATAAAATAAACCCATTTAACTGTCATCGTGGATTTCACGCCTTATGTGCAAATGCAATAAATCCCGTATCGTGGCCCCATATATTAACCCTCTTTCACCAAAGGCCTCCCCTGCGTTTTGGTAAGACCGTTTAGCAGCTGCCATCTTTACGCGCGTGCCCAGATGCTTCAGTAGCGAGGATAAGAAACACATCATCACAAACCTACAGTGTCCTGTCAGTGTTACGCGCTGACAAGTGATTATAGTGTGTGTAATGCGGGCCCTTAACAAAAGCAGCTGTCCCACCACGGAACAAGAGTACAGAGTTGGGGAGGGGGGCCTCTTGTCTCTTCTTTTACGCACAGCACGCTCCCGCACGCGCACTCGGCCCCCTCCAATCAATTAGTCAATCAATTAGCTGGCCTCCACTCCTCTCCACGCGCGCGGTCATCAGGAGGCAGATTAGCTGCACTAATGATCAAATTAATTCTTAATCGCAGATAATGGACGGAGAATGAGTTTATTATTTTCATGAAATTGAACAAGGTCGCGGTATCAGTTCTCAAACCTGTGACACTTAACAAGAACAGTGAGCACACACAGGGTCATGATCAGGCGACTAGACTCACACTCATCTCATTTACATCAGTTATGTGAAAATCAGCCGTTCGTTGTGGCGTATAACAATTAAATATAGACTGTATGGACAAAGAGGGAAAGTGACATGTATAAATAAACGCAGTAGAAAAATAATGCAGTATGTAGGTTACAACCTATTATTTTGTGGGATTAGATTTTAACAAAGCAAATAAAAATATAATAAACGAAGAAAGTAAAAATAATTAGTATTCATTTATTTATTTATTTATTTTAGCAGTTTAAAACGAACGGTAATATGGCCCACACAGCGCACATGAGTCTCTCCCTCTCTTGGCCCGTCACGGACTTGACAGCAGTTTGAAAGTTCCGGGCTGGAGCACGGGGCCGCCATTGGCCCAGGAGGGGCTTACCTACATGCAAATGAAGCCACGCAGCCCATTGCTGGTGAACAGAGCGAGAGGAGGAGGACCGGGATTACACTCATGTTCCCCGAGCTCTAGAAAAAACAACTCCTTCAATGTAAAACTCCACAATTAACAGCCACACGAGACAAAGGCAGTATTTTAGGCACTGAGACAAAAGCGGCACAACGCGAGGACTGTTATGAAGCTACAATGAGCGGCGCAGAAGACAGCGGGAGCAAGGGTTCTTCGGGTCCCATCTCCAGCTTCACCATCCAGTCCATCCTGGGCACGGGCTCCGATACGCCACGCGCCCCCAGCAAGGAGCCTCCGCCGCACGCGCCACCGCGCAGACGATCTCTGTCCGTGTCCTCAGAAGAAGACTGCAGCGCTGGAGAGGACTCTGCGGACTGCTTCTGCTCCTCCGACACGACGCACAGCGAGCCCTGTGCCCAGACGCACAACTTCTCCTGTTTAGGTATTATTATTATTATTATTATTATTATTATTATTATTATTATTATTATTATTATTATTATTATTATTAACAAAATTCCACTTCTTACCAAGCTGTTGTTTTGTTGTTGGACGACAATATTTAAAACAATCAAAAAAGTACACTTTCCGTTGCACGTGTTTATGCACTGGGGCATGCATGGTGTTTATTCACCGTTTGTTATTTGGTGCATGTGTAGGATCCAGACCCTCCTCCGCAGTAATATGCGGAGGAGGGTCTGGATGCTGCCGTTCTAATATTAATAATTAGACCTCTGGCTTTTCCTCTCATTTCAAATTCAATTGAGCTAGCCTAATTGA